CATGCCTTTTCTCCCCACTCCTCCCTCCCTCTCTGGTGCACACCAGGCAAACATTCTGGCTCTAGCACTTGTGGCTCTAACTGCTAAGCCGCCCTGAAATAATCTGTTGAAAAGCAACTTCTCACACCTCCTTTCCCTCAGCCCAGCAACCATTCTACTGTATGGATGGCTAATTTACTATGAATTTGGCTATTTCAATCCTTCGACATACATGGAATTATACAGTATTTGTCCTTCCGTGACCGGCCTATTTCTGCTAGTATAACGCCTTTAAGGTTGATCTATGTTGTCACATATGGCAAGATTTCTCTTTTGAAGGCTAAAGGTATGAGTCTATGTGTTCATTTCCTCTGGCCTTTCATCCACACAAAGACATCTAGTTTGCTGTCACATACTGGCTACTATGTGTGCGGATCCAATTTGGGATCCAATTCATTTGTTTGCTCAGAAATGCCATATGATCCAGAAGGCCTACTTCTATCTTCTAACTTCTTGGAGGAGACCCCACATTCTTCTATAGTAGCTTTATTTTTATATTACCATCCAATGTACAAAGGACCCAACTGCTCTAAGGTCTTGCCAATACTAGTTATCTTTTGTAACTGAGGTAATAGACACCCTCTTGGGCATCTCACTGTGTTTTCTGTGACCCTGAACACTTTTTCAGAAGAGATATCCCTGGAAATCCTTTGATTATTTTAAAATATCAGGTTGGTTTTTTCACTGTGCAGCTATTTTATCATGAAAAACTTTACATGCAAAGCTGAAAGAATTTTAACAATTTACCATAAAGAGCTACTCTCTATTTGTCAATCCATATATATTTTTGGTGAATTTCAAAGTAAACTGCAAATGTCAATATAAAGCCCTTAAAGCCAGGGGTGGTGGTTCACTTTTAACCCCAGCACTTGGGAGGCAGAGGCAGGAAGAGCTTGGAGTTCCAGGGCAACCAGGGCTTCATACAGAAACCCTGTCCCCCCCCCCAAAAAAAAAAAAAAATCAAAGCCAAACATATACTACCCTTAGCTACTTCAGCAGGCTTGTCATTCGATAGATTCACCAATGTCTATTTGAAACTTTTTGCTTATTTTTGGGGTGTGTGGAGCATGTGCAGTGTGGGTATTTTCTCCCTCTCCTGAAAGCATCTCTCACTGAACTTGGATTCCCAGATATAGCTGAACTGGCTAGGCCAGCAAGCTTGAGGAGTCTGATTTGATCAATTTACAAATTCAAATATAAATTCCAATATGACTGTTTGTAGAACTTGGTAAGCTAATCCTATTATTTAAAATGTAAATACAAGGACCAAGAGCAGTCAAAACAATTTAGAAGATACTAAACAGAGGTACTGATCCTATCACATACTACTATAAAGCTCAAGTTATTAAGACTATGGGACAGCTCCTCAACAGACAGGCTCACATAACTCAACTGCAATGACCCTGTCATAAGACAGGAGAAATACATTTTAGCTATGGGACAGGCTGTATCAGTTTAGACTGATACCTGTGAACAAAGCCCGCCTGGACTCTGCAGGTAATGCACTCATATATGTAACTGAAAATAAAATAAAAATATTCCAAGAACATCATTTCAAAAACAAACTCTACAAAGTTTTGGTAGTTCATGAGGAGTTTCTCTCTCTCTCTCTCTCTCTCTCTCTCTCTTTCTCTTTCCTTCCTTCCTTCCTAAGATTTATTTATTATGTATACATTGTTCTGTCTGCGTATGCCTGCACACTAGAGGAGGGCACCAGATCTCATTACAGGTGATGAGCCACCATGTGGTTGCTGTGAATTGAACTCACAACCCTGGAAGAGCATCCAGTGCTCTTAACACCTGAGCCATCTCCCCAGCCCAAGGAGTATTTTTCTAATAAAACAGAATAACGTCAGAATGAAGTACAACATTGGAATATACTGATGGTGGTAATGAGCTCTGTGAATCCAAGGCCTGCCTGATCTACAGAGTAAGTTCCAGAGCAGCAAGGGCTACACAGAGAAACCCTGTCTTGAAAAAAAAGAGAAAATGAAAAAGGAAACCAACCCTGTCTGGAAAAAACAAAACCAAACAACAACAAAGCTATCTGGGGACCCAATAAGATGGCTCCAGCGGGTAAAGGTGATTACTGCAAACTCAACAAACAGAATTCTGTCTCTGAGGCCCACATGGTAGACAGACTGATTCCAACAGTTCTCCACACATGTACTGTGGCATGCGGAACACACACAGGCAGTCTTTTAGAAGCCTGACGTGACAAAGCTGGGTAGCAAGGACATGTGTGTTTGCCAGGTCGCTCTTGATTCTTTTCTATATCCCAATGCCACCTTCCTTTTCAGGATTCAAGGTTTTATACTTGTCAGACACTAATCAAACCTTATTCTCAAGGAAGCAACTGTCTCTACAGAGCATGAGAATCTGTCTCCTTTAATCCACTGTCTCAGAGAAAACAATTCAATTTTGTTTATACTGATGTGCCTGCCCTGGGGTGGGGGGAGGGAGGCTCGGCACTTAAGAGCACTTGTTGCTCTTCCAGAGGATCCGCCATCGTCTCCACACCCACATGGCAGCTCATAATAACCTCTCTGACTCCAGTAGCAGGGGATCTAACACCTTCTACTAACTTCCGTGGGCACCAGGCACATGTGTGGTGCACACACACATATATGTGCAGCAAAACACTCATAAACCTAACAAAATAAGACATCTTCTGAAATTGATGCTGGAGACTAATGTGGAAAAGGGCTGACATGTGCGCCCTCAGGTGCTGTCTGCACGCTGGCTGAAGAGTAGCAACTGCACTAGGGCAGCAGGGCTGTGCCTGTCTCTGTTCCCCAGGGTTGGGGTTGCAAGTGAAAGCCGCCAGGTCCAGCTTCTCTCTCACCTGGGTCCTGGGAATCAAACTCAGGTCCTCATGCTGGCACGGCAAGCACTTTGCTGACTGAGCCATCTCCCTAGGCCCTTCCTTGTTCAGTTTTCCCTTGAAAATCAACATGATCAAGAGCTACTCTGGGCTGAAGAGAATGAGAAACGTTTTTTTGACAGGCAACATGGCACAAAGGGTGAATTGCCTCTTAGATTCGGTGATGTTACAGACTTGTCCTCAGAAGGAATTCTCTAGCAAGCAACAAATGTGATACGCTGGGATCAATCATAACCCCGGGCTGTTAAGGGCCCTGCCCCTCTGTAAATTCCCCCTTTGCTTACTGTGGTTACAGGTGTGTGCCTCTACCCAACTGCTTCTGCAAAACTTCATCCCGCAGTGTCCCTAAGCCCTGTGCGGCTACTCATATCAGCCCTCTGTGTTACTTTTTTCCTCCTGCTCACAAAGCCCAGCCTCAATGGCCTCCTTCCTGTTTTCATCTGCAGTTTTTGTCCTTGGAATTTCCTCAGCCTGAAATGCCCTCCCCTGGCACTTCCCTGCACCAATAGCCTGCCACCAGCAGCCTGGACAGGGTCTTCAGAAGGAAGCGCTTATTCAAAGAATCTATATCTTGTAGTGCATATGATTACAGTTCCTTAGTGGGAACTCATTAGAAACTTGAAGGGCCTCTGTTTTCACACCAGACAGATAAACAAATGCCTTTAGTCCTTTTCTATTTTGTTTGTTTTGAGACAAGGTCTCATTGTGTTGTCTAGGTTGCTTAAGGGCTCCATGTACAAGCCACTATACCTAGCTACTTGTAGTGTTTTCTTTGGTCGTGCTGGGAACTGAACCCAGGGCCTCACACATGCTGGGCAACTGCTCAGCCCCCTGAACCAGTCAGTCTCAGCTGCCATTGCATCACCCTCACACTGTGACAAAGTCCTGTCTCAAAAGCATCTTCCTTCATAGGAAAGAAGCTGGCCTGGATGCACTGTGTTAGGATGCCCTCTTCTGGGAAGTATAAAAATTTCACAAACTGTATGTTACAAGCATTTAAACCCAGTGCCTTGCACATGCTAGTTAAGCAAGTGCTCTACCACTGAGCTATACACACACCCAGTCCCTCCCTTACCTTTTAAGTTCACAGTTCCAGAAACAGCACAGTGGATAATAAGTTAGAGTATGACATTGTTATACTTTTCTTCTTCACCTTAATTAAATACAGCACATATTTTTAAAGCAAAGTACTTTGATCATTCCTAATAATTGGTTTCCTGCCCTGCATTTCATAAGTAAAACACTAGATCCACCCAAGCATGTATATCCTCACCATGGTGCTAAATGCACATTGTACACAGAATGATGCAAAACACAGCCAGCTTAAAGTCATTTGTTACCCTGAAAAACTTCAAACCTATAAATTGGATTGAAACGAGGATCACTGGTGTTCTTGGTACTACCTAAAAGAATCAAACAAACCTTAGCCAGCATACTATTAGACCCCAAATTACTTTTTAAAATAATTTCCAAATGCATCACACAACAGTCATTCACATATAACTAACTAGCACGTGAAGCAAGGAGCCAGCACAAACAAGACCTATCACTAGCAACAGATGGCAACAGTCCCACAGTCCCTCAGAAAGAAGAATTCCCAAATGAACTGTAAGATCATCCTATTACTTGTGGAAATCTAAAATCACAATAGTAATAAATTTCCACACAAACTGGAAACTTACAGTGCAAGTCTGGACAGCTGGAGAAACTTTCTCATTAAGAGTCCAGGACTGAGATGTATGGCTCGGGGGTAGGGCTCTTGTCTAGCTGTTAAAGCCTGGGGTTCATCCCCAGCACACCGGCAAAGAAAAGCCAACACTAGACATTCCATTCCTTAACCTTGAAAATATTAAAATCTAAATATGTCAGCCCTTCCTTATTTAATGTGAATATAATAAATACTCTGGATAAAAACCAGAAAGACTGTCAGAATGGATGAGAAAAGACAACCAACACCGTCACACTAGTAGTTAAGTGACCCCCAGAACTCAACTCTCACGGAACAGGCTAAAGTTGAGGTGCACGCTTAAAAATCTGTGATGAGGGCTTGGGATGCAGCTCAGTGGTAGAGTACTTGCCTAGTATATGCGAGGCCCTGGGTTTGATCCCCAGCACTGAAAAAAAAAAACGATGAGAACAAATGTGAGAGTGCTTGAACCCCAGGCTTCAGGCAGGCATGAAACCACAAGTTAAGCAAAGAGGAAAGCTCCCAGTACAAACATTACCTGCAGCAGCCAGATGGGCGGTTACCTCATCAGCTGCTGTGGAGTTGAGTATGTCCGAGTCATCGTAGGAAGTGTCCTCGGGGAGGAAGGGGAGTCTTCGTCGGCACTTAGCATACTATGCTCAGTGTACGTGGCTACATGGACCTGCTGTACTTGTTGGGCCACGGCATGGGCTTCTATGGTAGCCATGTGCTCGGTTTGGGTCACTCCGTGTTCCTCCATGAAGATCTACTGCTAGAAAAGAGGGGGAAGAGGGGAAGAGGGGGAGGGGAAGGCGATTCAGTGTACAGAGTAACAAATGGCGAAACTAAGGTTTTTTTTTTTTTTTTTTTTTTAAGAGCAGAGAAACTGTTTTGACAACCTCTGGTTTTATTTCTTACTTGACCACACCAAGGTATGGGAAATTCATATAAAATAGTAGAATATTTTTATGTGAAATCATTTTGACAGAAATTCACTATTATACAGAAACATACATGCCCGCGTCAAGGTCACAAAACATTAAAATCCTTGATATATGTATAACAATAAAAGATATTTAATAGCCCACTGAGTAGTAGCATTTGTTATTGTGATATAAAATACTTAATAGTGAAATAGTTAGGATTATCTTTGTGTTTCAAAGACAAATGAGAATAGCCTCTCCATATAATAATTCTACTTGGTTGTATGATTACGAAACTCTGCTCTTTGTAAGTCTGAAACAAGCAGTGCTTTAAGGTAGAAAAGCTGGCTCTCCTACCACACATCTCTCCTCTTTCTCCATAAATAAGCTCCAGTATTCACGAGAAAAAGTGAAGCAAACACATACAGATTTAAAATAAAGCAGGTTTACAATGACACTCTCTCGTTCTAATATACTTAGACATTTTGATAAATTACAACACACAAACCTGCCATATCCTTTTAAACTAGCTACAGAATACTTTATTGTACAGCTTTGCTGATGAAGCAAGGCTGCTTCCAGATTTCTGCTGTTATAAACATCCTTATATATGAAATTCTACATATTGGTTCCTAAAATGGTTTTAAATAAAACATTATATAATCTGGCAACACAACTTCTGGTACTTACCCAGAAAAGCTGAAAGCGGGGTCTCAAAGAGCTATGTGCACACCCATGTTCATAGCAGCATTATTCACAACAGCCAAAAAGGTGGAAGCTACCCAAGCGTCCGTCAGTGGGTGAATGAGAAACAAAACTTGGCACATATGAACCACATAACCACATATCATTCCACCTTAAAAAGGAAAAAAAAAAAAAAAAACACAAATTAGGAATAAAGGGGATTTCTTGGACTTGATAAAGAACGTCTATAAAAATGTCTACACCCATTATACTAAAGATGAAAATCTAGAAGCTTGAGACAAGGATGTCCCCTCTTACTACGTCTTTCCAACACTACATTGGAACTCACAGCTTATGCTAAGAAAGAAAAAGATCAAGAAATAAGGAAAGGAGAAGAAAAGGGGAAGGGAGGGGAAGAGAGAAGGGAGGGATCGCTGGGAAGAATGAGCGGCTGTCTCTGCATGGCATGAGAATCTACGTGAGGTCGTCAACCAAAGACTCCTGGTCTGAACAGCAAGTAGGTTGTGAGATGCAGGGTGGATATAGAAATCAATGTGTTCTTACATATCAACAACGAACAAGTAGAACTTGGAATTAAACACAATTTCATTTCTATTAATGCCTTCTAAAAGTGAAATATCAAGGTATAAAATCTAACAAAATATGTGCAGGAGTTAGGTGTCTGCTGCGGATCAGGGAAAATATCCCCGGCAATAAACAGGAGATATTGCAAATTCTTTTCAAATTTATTTCAAATAGACATAAAACTACATATTTATCATGTGTTTGAAAAATACATACACATTATGGAAGGGTAACATCTAGCTAATTAAAATATGCATTACCTCATAGGTGTCATTTTGGAAATGAAAGCATTTAATTTTAGTCATAAACTAGTTACCATGTTGTACAATAAATCTCTTGAACGTCTATCCTTTAAAAAAAAAAATCTGTATGAGGAAAATTACACAACACTCATGATGAGGGAACCAAAGGGCTGAATACATAAAGGGCTACTGCAGGCTCATGGGTAGAAAGGCACAATACAGCAGGCATAGTGGTATACGCCTTTAATCCCCTCACTTGGGAGGCAGAGGCAGGCAGATCTCTGCGAGTTCGAGGACAGCCTCTGAGGATACTACACAACATACAGGCAGACAAAACCCACACACATTAAAAAACAAACAATTAACCTTTTGTTCTTTGAACATATTACGTAGCTATTTCCTCTGGATCAAACTTTCCCTCCCTAGACTAATCAGAATGTGGAAACTCAGGAAGCTGAGGACCCACAAGCTCCCTCTGAGGGTGTATGAGTGAGTAGTCATTGCCGAGGAACCACTTGCAAGCTGAGCCGGAGTCCCAAGGATACAGCCTTCAAGCATCATCATCCACACTAGAGTGGGCTTTGCAGAGACGCAGTGACTTTTCAGTTGCCTGTTCTGTGATGCCAATCCCCATCCATACTCCTGTCAGTGAGTAAGCCCAACTCACTGGCTCACCAAGCTAGCCTTGGGTGGACTCATGTCTCTGGTTTGCTGCTGGTGCCCTACCTGGAGTGAATAGGAATTTGTTTACATCTCCCCGTGGAAGGTCACACAATAGAAATACACAGGCAAGAAAATAAGTCCAGAACAGGGAAAACAATTTATTCACAGATAAAGGACTGTTATTCAAAATTTTAAAAACAACTAAAACTCAACAATAAGAATACAACTAACCAATTGCTAAAAAGGACAAAACACCACCTCACCAGGAACGTATAGTACAGTAAATAAGCATATGAAAAAGTGTTAACATCATCTCACTATGAAACTGCACCATAAACCACAGTAACATACAACTACATAGCTATTACATGGATAAAACTGCACAAAATGCTCCCTCATTCTCTTTGCTGCCTGACCTCTGCTATCATGGGTTGCATGCATGCTCCCGGGAAGGGCCTGTCCCAGTCTGCTCTGCCCTACAGCCTTAGTGTCCCCACCTGGCTGAAGTTGCCATGAAACAGATTTACAAACTAGCCAAGAAAGGCCTGACTTCCTCCCAAATAGGGGTGACCCCAAGGGACTCACATGGTGTGGCAAAGGTCCATTTTGTGACTGGTAATAAAGTCTCGAGAATCTTTTAAATCCAAAGGCCTTGCCCTTGAATTCCCTGAGGATCTCTATCATTTGATTAAGTAAGCAGTCACTGTCCAAAAGCATCCTGAGAGAAACAGCCTGTGATAGAGAGTAGAATTCACCAATTGCTCCTTACTCTAAGATTAAACTTGGAAATATGAGATGTCCACAGCCTCTGCTCTAGTAGTACAAATTCTCTGTGTACATGAGCAATAAAATCTCTCTCTCTCTCTCTCTCTCTCTCACACACACACACACACACACACACACACACACACACACCACAAACTCATTGCTCACTTTCAAAGACAATCTAGCAGTTTCTCCCAAAACTAAAAAAAAACACACTCCAACCATATGATCCCATAATTAACTCCACGGTATTCAGCCAAAGGCTGACAACCTACATCTACACCACAATCCACACACAAATGTCACAAATGTTTACAGCAGGTTTGCTTGCAACTGCCAGAGCTTGGATCCGACCTCATGTTCTTCAGTGAGTGACTGGACACAAAAGCTTTGTTCATCTGAACAATGAAATAGTGTTCCGCGCTAGAAAGAAATGGACCATTGCGCTAGGCATAGTAGCACATACCTATTATCTTACACTTAGGAGACAAAAACATCACAGGTCTGAGGACAGCCTGGTCTACATATTAAATTCCAGATGAGCCAGAGCTATACAGCAGGGGGTGGTGATGAGTTCCCAAGACATGAAAAAAATTACCTGGATATTACTATGCGAAAACCAGTCTAGAAGGTTATACATTGTATGATTACAACTACAGGACCTTATAGAAAAGCAAAATTGTGTAGACAGTGAAAGGAGTAGGGGACTCCTTTCGGGGGACTGGGGGAGGGAGGGGTGGGAGGGATAGACAGGCAGAGCATAGTGAATTTTCACTAAATTGTCACTATCCATTGGTTCAAATTCATAAAAAGACCATAATGTAATATAGAATCTGGGTGATAATGACATGTGAACACATACTTATGATAAGGATCAATGTACAGCTATCCTACAGGATGTGGACAGGGAGGAAGGCAAAGTATTAAGGACAGGAGACATGTGGGAAAGCTCTGTGCCATCTACTGAATTTTGCTGTACACTTGAACTGTTCTATTTGAAACTAGGTTGTTTTGGTTTTGGTTTTTTGAAATTTGGACACACACTATTCTATGTGAAACTTGAAGATTCTTTGCTCAGTAAAAAAAGCTAGTCACAAAGACAAATACTGTATGAGCCCATTGGCTTTTATTTTATTTGCACTTATTATGTTGGGGGAAGGGTGCTAGGGCCGGCTGTAGAGGTGAGGACTGTCCTACTACTCTGGGTTCTGGGGACTGAATTTAGAGAGTCGGTCTACATGGCAAGAGCTTTCACCCGGTGAGCATCTCCCTGGCCCTGTAGCCCATCTTTATGAAGCAATTAGACTAGTCTACAGAAAGGAAGCTGGCAGGGAATGAGTGCGAGCAGGTGAAGAGTTGTCTCATGAGATGCATGAATTCTGCAGATTGAGTACACAATAATAAGAATGGGCTTAACAGTTCTGAATTGTACATCTAAAATTTATTGTTATATTACTTTACCACATGTGAAAATTAAATACAATCATCCCTCACTCAGCCTAACTTTTGCATAAAGAATAAGTTCTTATCTTTATAAAGATTTGCACATCATTTGATACTATTAAAAATAAAGTCTTGCCATTTCTGGCGGCTATGGCAGTGCAGAAGGAAGAGGGCTGGCCTGAAGAAGGGAGAGTGGTGGTCGCCAAACATGGGATCTAGCACAAACTGGCTCCCGGCCTTTGAGCTGCCCTGTGGAAAGCAGGCAAAGTGTGGTCTCTCACGGCATCGCGTGGATGCCGTGGCCATGCACTGTGTAAGTCACCTTGTGACCTGTTTATGATCTGTTTTGGTTTTCAACTCCTACTTATCAGTTTAAAAAAATTATTCTTAGCTGGGTATGTGGCGCTCGCCTTTAATCCCAGCACTTGGAGGCGGAGGCAGGCGGATCTCTGTGAGGTCAGGGCCAGCCTGGTCTACAGAGCGAGTTCTAGGACAGCTACACAAAGAAACCCTGCCTTGAAAAATCAACCAAGCAAACAAACAAATAAACAAAAAACTACCATCACAACAACCAAAAAGGATTCTTGACAGAAAAGAAAATGTAGAAACTGAAGATAAATTTTCGCTGGAGTGAACAAATTAACGTAAACTATAGAGATTTGACATGTACTTGAAGTTATGATCCATAGTTGAAGGTTTAACTTATATTGTAACATCAGCCCTTCTCATATAAACTGATGCAAATATAATGTAAAATTTGACTGTTATAGTAATATACAACACAGCATTCTAGAACTTAACAAAAGGGCAATCATACATATGCAGAAATAAATAGGACTTATATGGAAAGAATATGATTATTCATATAAAATTCTTTCATACTGTAGAAGTTTCATTTTTCCTCTCTGAGAACTTTTTAAAAACTTCTGTTCTTCTGCTTAGTTTCTCATCCCGGCCTCTCGTTTGTTTTTTGAGGCAGGGTCTCACTGTGTAGCCTTGGCTGGCCTGGAATTTACTATGTGAAGTAGGCTGGTCTGAGATCTGTCTGCCTCTGTTGAGACCAAATACATATGCCACCATATCCAGAGTACCTAGTAAAATACTTAACACAGGAAATGAAGAAAACAAAGTATTAACATGTGGGAACTGTGAATAAAGAGTATTTGAAGATTCTAAAAGCCTGAAATTATGTCATGTGTTTACACTAATTTGCTGTGACATATTTTCAAAGAAAAAAGTAGAGTTCATGGCTGTTCTTTCCTACACTATCTCTGACATGGGTTTTATACAGTGTACAAGGGTATATCCTACCCCCTTGTTAGGACTTATCAAAAGTAAAATTAAGCACATCAAGTCATACAAACACCGCCTATAAGACAAAGATACCAATAAAG